CCAATCCCTATCCAACCTGATATATTGGCCTGTCATGGCCTATCTTCCGGGCAGATCTGGTCTGGACTGCATTCTGATATCACAGCATTGCAAAGCGGTTCGTGACCTGCTACAAGCTCAGCAAGGGGGTCCTCATCTGCGTGCCAGAGCGATCTCGAGATACAAGCTGTGCGGTGGCGTCCAACTGTTTCTTGACTTGTCCAGAGCCTTTGATATGGTCTGTAGGCGAAAGCTGTTTCAAAAATTGACCACCCTGGGTATCTCAGAACAGATTGCGCATCTTCTGGGTTCATGGCACGAGTGCACTCAGTATCATGTTTCTCATGAACTTGGATCCCAACCAATCATGATCGGAAGAGGAGTGCGTCAAGGATGCAAGGGGGCACCCTTTCTTTTCAATTGTTTTGTGGTTCTGTTTTTGAGAGATCTTGCAAATCATTTGCCTGTGGATTGGATTCGTGCCAATATCACGATTTACGCTGATGATTTTCACGTGTGCAGTCAATACAGAAGTGCGCAAGAACTGGAATACACCCTACTGGCTTTTCGGCTTTTGTTTCAGACTTTGACTTCTCTGGACATGGTTGTCAATCCCTCGAAATCTGTTGCACTTTTGGCCATGACTGGCACGGCCTTTCGAAAGCATCGACAACAACATGTTGTCAAGACCCAAGATGGAGTCTTTTTGCGATTGCGTGCAGATGGAATGGATGACATCCTGATTCCGCTGAAACGTGAAGCCAAATATTTGGGCGCCATCATGTCATACAAATGTGTGGAAGATGCAACCCTTCAGCACAGACTCTCAATTGCTCGGATCAACTTTGCTCGATTGAAGCCTTGGCTCAGCAGACGACACAGTTTGACAACAGCTCAACGGTTGACATTGTGGCAGACATGTATTTTTCCCATTCTCATGTATGGCATTTTTGCGGTCGACATCACTCACAAAGGTCTCCTATTGCTACAACATCACATCACTATCATGTTGAGGAGCATTGCAAAAGATCATGCTTATTTCACAGGACACAACAACACTCAGGCACTTCAATACCATCACTTGCCCACACCAGCGCTCTTGCTTCACGGGGCGCTGGATAGTTTGCTGCAGTCAGTGACTCAACGATACATTGTGATGACAGAAGTTGACATTCTGTTCACGGTCAGATGGGATCACCTGGTTGCCTTGAAACTTAGAATTGACACTCTTGAGGCTTCAGATCTTGTGGACAGGACTCTCCCGACCTTTGTGCAGGCGCCAGATAATGTCTTGCAATGCAAACAATGTGACTTTCACACCCATGATGTGGCAACATTTTGACGGCATTGTACACGCACTCATGGGATCCCCACTTTGCGTGTTCAATTGGCCGATGTCCAAGACTACATGCTTCATGGACTTCCCACATGCAAACATTGTATGACTAGATTCTCCAACTGGAGAACCTTCAGAACGCATGTAGAGCGTGGCTGCCAGGCTCTTTTTGCTGGACCTCTGCTTGACACTGCGGCATTTTGCCCTGGAGCTTCTGGGCCCTGGCTGTCTCACTGGATGCCCACAGCTGATGCAGTGCTTCGAGGCACCCGGGCAATTACTTCTGATGAGCTGAATCACCTCAAAACACAATCGTGGGGAGCCTCCCTACTTCAGATGCTTGATGAGAGAGTGCCTGAGAGGGTGCTTGAACTCCCGATGGCCTGTCAACACATGGCCAAGCATTGCATTGTGTGTGGGATTCAAATTGGAGCAGGTTGTCTCCACCAAGAACATTGCAATGCTCTGGCAGGACAACGACTTGCGATGCACTCTGAGCACTACGTGCTTGCAATGTGGAGCCCATCATGGAGCACCCGAACTTGGCCTTCATCTTCATGAAGTGCACCTGTGCAATCATGGCATCATCCATTTCTACATGACCCAACTCATGCCAGTGTTTTTGAAATGCTGTCCTGATGACTACAGATGTGTGCATTGCCAACAGATCTTCAACTTGCCGCCACAGATGGTCCCAGATGCCTCCTCTGAAAACAGGCAAACTTTGGCTCAATCACACCTTCTGTGTCACTGCCCGTGTCTGCTGCAGACGGCAGTACTGCTGGGTTCATTCCTCTATGGCGGACGCCTTGGGTATGACCGACCAAGAACTGGACAGCCAGATGGAAATCCTCCAGACGTTCCAGGGCCTCCAGACCATCCTGGACAAGTCGCTGAACCTGGCTCCGGACCCTCGCCAGTCCAAGAGACGAAAGGAGGGCGCAGTACCAAACGGCGTCGCACAGAACCCAGTGGACACCCAGCCCAAGGTTGCCGAGATGATGCAACTCATGGCCAGACTCCTTCTGCGGCACGAGATGGAAATCCAAGGTCTGCACCAGGCCGACACATTCGTGATGTTCTGCAGCAAGCAGCCCGAAGGAATTCTGCAGGTTCTGATCAAGGAGACACAGGCTTGGAAGAGTGCTCTGGAAACGAGCCCCCTGCCAAGGGCACCATTACGGCAACATCTCTTTCAAGCTCTCCTGACGGACCTCCTGAACAGGGTCACCCGGATCTCCAAGTGCCAGAAAGGGGATGTGCTGCTGACCACCTTGCAGCAGAAAGGACTGCTGATGGAGGATTACAGCTGGCCGTACCTGGCATGGGACTCCAAGGCCAAGCTCCTGAAGAGGAACGAGCAGAAGAAACCCATCACCATGGTGAAGCTCATGGAACACGTGGGGGAATTGATCGAAATGGCCCGCAACCCCAGCCTGATTATGAAATTTCAGGCTCTGGGCTCAGGCTCGGAGCAACAAGTGGTGCCATGGAGATTACAGATCAACATGCGTCACGATGCTCCTTGGGACCTGCTGATGCAGCTGACGCACAACAGCATGTGGGTACTACTGGGAACATCGCTGAAACCTCATTCCCAGATGAAGTCGAACCTGGCAGTCTCCTTGCTGAACATGCTGACCCCCTCCAACCACAAGGGCAAGGGGCTGGGCAAAGGCAAGAAGGGCAACAAACAGCCAGCGAGCTGATCTTTTCCCTGGAGATGGTTCAGACCTTGATGATGCACCTGGTATTGGCAAATTCGACGAACTGGTGCTTTGCCAACTGCACCTTCCTTTGTGCGGTGTGGGCCCTTGTGTGCATTGATGCTCTGGACCCAGGGATACGGGGTGACAAGTTTGGCCTGATTCAGACCTTTTTGAAATCGCACTCAAGACAGAAAGCTGCGCTTGAGTCAGAGAATTGGTTTCAGGCACTTGTGCAACAATGGGGACAGCCTCTGGGTCAACATGACTGCTCAGAGTTTACAAATGCTTTCGTTTCCTGGCTTAGAGCACCAGCCATTGACCTTCGCTGGGAGAGCAGAGTTGAAAATGCTGGGCAGATTTGTGTCCTTGACAAGGGTTCATTTTTCATGCCTATCACCTTGCAATTTCCTGCAAACCATGATGGACAGGGAACAAAATATTTGACAACTCTCTTTTCTGACTGGCGACAGGTACAGGGAATGACCACAGCATTGACGCAGGCGCCACCATTGATCTGCGTTCACCTTGACAGGATGTATCACGACGAATCTGGAACTCTTTGCAAGAGTGCATGTGCCATTGACCTCAACTCTGCAGTTCAGGTGCCACACTTCTGCAATTCAGGGGTCAAACATGAGATGTCGACGTACATTCTGGTGGCCGCAGCTGCACATCTTGGTGCAGATGGTGCTGGTCATTATCGAGCACTGATGAAAGTACGCCCGTCTGTGGATGAGGCCCTGAATCCCTTCCAATGGATTCTGACTCAGGACAACGAATCTCCAGCCCCAGTTTGGTTGCCTCCGGAATGGATGAAGAAGAACCTTACCACAATGTGGCTGGTGCGTGACGACTGCTTGCTTCTTCCAACACATCGTGATCAGTCTGTGTTGGATTCGAGCGCCATCCAGGAGGACACGACGGCAGCCATTCTGACCCTCTTGGCAAAGACTCACGGGATCGAGACCAACCACAGTACCGCTTGAGTTGGCACACACGGATGATCTTTTTCATTTTCCAGGTCCCTCAAAACAAAGCTTGAGGCGACGTCTCTCATTTCTTCAGATGTCTCATGGCCAGGTGTTTCCAAAACGGAACCAGCATTGAAGCTGTGGCTAGCACGTACCTTTGATTGAAAAGGAGTGTTTGGAAAACAAACACACACACAGACACACACACAGACACACACACAGACACACACACACAGACACACACACACAGACACACACACAGACACACACACACAGACACACACAGACACACACAGACACACACAGACACACACAGACACACACAGACACACACAGACACACACAGACACACACAGACACACGCAGACACACGCAGACACACACAGACACACACAGACACACACAGACACACACAGACACACACACACAGACACACACAGACACACACAGACACACACAGACACACACACAGACACACACACACAAGCCCCTGAGCGTCGAAGATCGACGCACTCAATTTGCACCATAGCGGTGTCGCGGCAGCCCCACGATCGCTCAGTGCCAACTTGCAATAGCCTGCGGATTTGCCTTTTCTTGTGGCGGGAGCGGCGGGATGCAAGCGAAAAACAAGAACCCCACACAGTGATGTGGGGAATGATTTCTACTTCTTACTCAGCACGGGGAATTTCGTAGAAGACAAGTGCGGAACCACCGCATTTGCATCCAAGACTCAAATTAAAAACAGACGCCCGCAGGAAACTGCGAAAGGGATGGATGTTCTGTACACCCAAACGGCCTTAGTGAAAATCGGTGACGCTCTGAGCTGAGCTCGGCTTACCACGCTCTTGGCTGAAATGTACTCTTGGATCCCTCTATTAACTAGTATTCACCAAGGGGATATAGATTGTCTTGCATTCATGCAGCAACGTGATGAAAAGTGCAATGTGGAACACTGTGGAACAGCCATAGCATCTAAGCTTGCTGCAACCTGCGGTCCCATGTTTTCAAAAAATGCTCCGATCATTCCAATCGAATACAAGTTCACGAGACACTTGTGGGTCTGAGAAGTCTGAAAATATGCGTTCAGCGGAAGCAACACTTGTTCGGGGGCCCATGAAACTCTCACATTGGAAGTGTTCATTCGCCATGGACCCAGATGCTGGTGATGTAAAAATGTGATCACGTCACGTCACGTCCCTGTTTTGCTACGTGTATGTGCTTTGTCTCGTGGGAGCCGCAGTCCGATCACTCCATCTGCTGCAATATTTGCCCCTATGTGCTGAAATGGGACGAATGATGTGTCATCCACAAGCGTGCCGGCCACCTAAAGCAGATACTGGGGCAAAGCACAGCTCAATCACACGCATCTCCAGCAAAGTAATAGCGATCAAGTTGCGCCAGCATACCCAGCTTTCCCAGGCAGCAAAACATCCAACACAAATAAAGCACTCCCGCCCGTCGCGGCAATTTTTCAATATCACCACACTGCCACTCATTGGTCACAGTGCTGCTGCTGGAAAGTTTACCACACATCACGGCGCGCTATATACAGTCTTCCGGTCAATGCGCAGGGCCCGACAGCAACAAAGATGAAAACGGGATCTAACACTTCTTCTGCCCAAGAGGGAACCTTTGCCTATTGGGTAATCATCTCACGCCATGAGGTCTGTTCCGCAATAGAGAGCCTTCTTGTCTTGGCAAGCAGCAAGCGGTTCGTAGTCAGAAAAATTCTCTGTTGCGCAGCTCACCTTGCTTCCCAGCTCCAAGTTGATCTGCTTGATAAATGTGTTGGGGCACGGCCCATGGGAGCACTTCAGCACCAAACAACCTTCTGACATCTTGATACTCTTTGGGAATTCGGGGTTTGAAGCGTCCAGAGTGACGGTAAGGCGTAAGTTGTTGCCTGCCGTCACAGACACCCCCTTGCAGGAATACCAGCCGCAAAAAAGGGTGAGAGGCACCTTGAACTCAGTGGAGAAGAATGCCATTGAACTGTCCTCGCATGTGCGACTGCGCGGACCGTGACCGTCACAGTACATGTGGGTCAACTTCGTAAATGTGGAGTCGCAACAAGCACCACCGTTGCAGTACACAAATGGCCCAACGCTGGAAGCACCGGCCACCTCAAAAGTAGACTTCGAACATGAGTTCTGGCCACACTTGAAATATTCCCATGCATGCTTGGTGTGAACGATCTTATTGCATCCGTTGCAAGAGCTTTCCTCTTGACACTTGGGCCAGTTGGCACAAGCTGCGGCTTGCCCCTTGGTGGTTTGCTTCTCTTTGGTTTGCTTCCCTGCCCGCTTGACTTGAAGTTGGGCAAGAGACGAACCATCGCAATCTTCACCTTGGCACTCAAGGCCCTCAAGGCCCAGGGTGGAAGCGGCCCATGGGATTGCAAGGAATTTGAACATGGCCATGGCCATGGTTCAGCTTGGGGCGAGCTAGGGGACCTGAAACCGACATCACTTCAGCGAGTTGCATGTTTGTTTCATTGTGAAGGAGCGCAACGAAAACCAATCACCAAATCATTTCGACCAATCTTGGCAAAAACTCGCATCCATCCACCCTGCCCCTTGCAGCCCTGCTTTTCTATGACTCTTCATCAGTGCTCCGCACTATATACTCCCCGCATCCCCCTGGTTGGCAGCCATGTCGGATATATCATTTGGCTCTATAAAAGAAAATTTGACTCAGTTGATCAGATTGCCCGTTGATCATCGATTTGGGAAAGAATCAATAAATGTCAAATTAAGCAGGGGGCAGTGACAGAGTTTGTGGGATCACTGCCAACGAAGACGCCCACTTTCTCTGGTGATGCATTGGGAGACGTCCTGATGTGTACCCGCAAAACAAACTAGACAAGCTGTTCTCATCAGGCTGTTTCAGGTGATCAATCAGGTCGGAAAAGTGTTTCGCTAACTCCAACATCATTTCCGATTCACTATCCAGGCGATCTCCTAGGTACTATACAGGCGACGGCTACATAGACATCAGAAAGTTCGACATCAGAGTAGAATCTACTCTCAGCAGTGTGTGGGGGCAACCCCTGTACCAAAGGGCTCTAATCAGAACTACTCCAGCGTCTAAGTTTTAATCCATCACTAGCAGCAGGGGGCGACAGAGTCGCTGCATGGCTGTCGCCAACGAAGCTCCATGCAGTAGATAGGATATGGAGTCTGATCAACTCCGCGTACCTGCAGTTTTTCGTCATTTCATTCCGTTTCAGTGAGCGATTGTTTTTCTTCAGTATGTACACAACAGAATCCGTTTCAGCAGTTCTTTCGAACAGAGTTCATCACAGCAGTTTCAATTTTTTGTGCTGAAAAAGGCCTTAGACAGGAATCTCCAGATCCCTTGATGGGAAACAAGAAGTGACTCATAAACGACAAACGGTCTGTCAAGTGTGTCTTTGGCCGAGAATCCGTCATGGTCCGGTCGTGATCCGGTAAAAAATCCTCAAGGATTGCCGGCGTGTGAATTTCTTCATCTGCATGGGCTTCGGCCATGACGAGGAGCCTGTATGTCTGTTCCTTGATCAGAGAAACAAGGGGGGGGCCTGAGAACCCAAAAGCAAAACGACAGCAAACAAATTTGAGTGATAATTGGTTTATTTCCTTTCTGCCTCTTGCCAGCATCTTTTTAGAAGATGAACATTAGTTCACTGCAAATTTCACTTTTTCAGCTCTGCACGGACACATTGAGTGACGGTGTGCAATAGCCAAGCAAGCTCCATGTGAGCACGGTCATGCGAGGGCGGATGATTTCCAAATCAACCTCCAACACATGCAGTGAAAACCTCGCATGTTTTTTTTCAGCTGCGCACGGAACAAATGAGAGACGGAGCGCAATAGCCAAGCAAACTCATTTGAGCACGGTCATGCGACGGCGGCTGATTTCCAAATCAGCCTCTCCTTTCCTTTCCCTTCCTTTCCCTTCCTTTCCCTTTCTCTCCCTTCCTTTCCCTTTCTTTCCCTTCCTTTCCCTTTCTTTCCCTTTCTTTCCCTTCCTTTCCTTTCCTTTCCCTTCCTTTCCCTTCCTTTCCCTTTCTCTCCCTTCCTTTCCCTTTCTTTCCCTTCCTTTCCCTTTCTTTCCCTTTCTTTCCCTTCCTTTCCCTTTCTTTCCCTTCCTTTCCCTTCCTTTCCCCTTCCTTTCCCTTCCTTTCCCGTCCTTTCCCTTCCTTTCCCTTTCTTGCCCTTCCTTTCCCTTCCTTTCCCTTTCTTTCCCTTCCTTTCCCTTTCTTTCCCTTCCGTTCCCTTCCTTTCCCTTCCTGTCCCTTCCGTTCCCTTCCGTTCCCTTCCGTTCCCTTCCTTCTCCCCACCCATTTCCAGCCACTCCCTTGCACCCACGCCGTCCGCAGCCGTCTGCGCAGCCAAGCTCGCCGCAGCGGCTTCTTCTCCACACCCATTTCCACCCACCCCCTTGCAACCACGCCATCCGCAGCCGTCCGCGCAGCCAAGCTCGCTCATTCCCAGTGGCTTCTTCTCCCCACCCATTTCCAGCCGCTCCTTGCACCCATGCTGTCCGCAGCCGTCCGCGCAGCCAAGCTTGTCCCCCAGCGGCTTCTTCTCCCCACCCATTTCCAACCACTCCCTTGCACCCACGCCGTCCGCAGCCGTCCGCAGCCAAGCTCGCTAATCCCCAGCGGCTTGAACTTCAACGCCACCCATTTCCAGCCACTCCCTTGCACCCGCGCCGTTCGCAGCAGGTGAGGGTTGTTAGATTTTATCACAGTTGTTCTCCTCCTCCTCCTCCTCCTCCTCCTCCTCCGTCTTCCTCCTCCTCCTCCTCCTCGTCCTCCAGCTTCTCCTCCACCACCTCTGCATCCACTTCCATGTCCACTTCCGCCTTGCCAACTCTTCGCCAACCATGTCCACTTCCGCCTTGCCAACTCTTCGCCAACTTCCGATCTGAGTGTGCACGGCTTGACCTCAGCTGCAAGGTTCTGAGCGCAGTGGGCACCGCTGGACCTCAGCCAGAAACCTTCTGAGCCCAGTGGGCACCGTCTGCGCAGCCAAGCTCGCTCATCCCCAGCGGCTTCTTCTCCCAACACATGTCCAGCCACTCCCTTGCACCCACGCCGTCCGCAGTCGTCCGCGCAGGCCCAGGCAAGCTCGCTGATCTCCAGCGCCTTCTTCTCCCGACCCATTTTCTGTCCGTCTTCTTTTCCCCACCCATTTCCAACCACCCTCTTGCACCCATGCCGTCCGCAGCCGTCCGCGCAGCCAAGCTCGCTCATCCCAGCGGCTTCTTCTCCCCACCCATTTCCAGCCACTCCCTTGCACCCACGCCGTCCGCAGCGGCCCGCGCAGCCAAGCCCGCTCATCTCCAGCGGCTTCTTCTCTCCGCCCATTTCCAGCCACTGCCTTGACCCACACCGTCCGCAGCCGTCCGCGCAGCCAAGCTCGCTGATCTCCAGCGGCTTCTTCTCCCCACCCATTTCCAGCCACTCCCTGGCACCCACACCGTCCGCGCAATTCTCCCCACCCATTTGCCGTCCGCAGCCGTCCGCGCAGCCAAGCTCGCTCATCACCAGCGGCTTCTTCTCCCCACCCATTTCCAGCCAATTTTCCATCCACAGCCGTCCGCGCAGCCAAGCTCGCTCATCCCCAGCGGCTTCTTCTCTCACCCCTTTCCAGTTTTAGCCGTCCGCGCAGCCAAGCTCGCTCATCCCCAGGGTCTTCTTTTCCCCACCCATTTCCAAACATCTTCTTGCACCCACGCCATCCGCAGCCGTCCGCGCAGCCAAGCTCGCTCATCCCCAGTCCAGGCACTCCATTGCACCCACGCCGTCCGCAGCGGCCCGCGCAGCCAAGCCCGCCCATTTCCAGCCACCCCCTTTGCAACCACGCCATCCGCAGCGGTCCCAAGCCGTCCGCGCAGCCAAGCTCGCTCATCCCCAGTGGCTTCTACCACCCACGCCGTCCGCATCCGTCTGCTCGCTCATCCCCAGCGGCTTCTTCTCCCAACCCATTTCCAGCCACATTCTTGCACCCACGCCGTCCGCAGCCGTCTGCTCCGCGCCCATTTGCCGTCCACAGAAGTCCGCGCAGCCAAGCTCGCTCATCCCCAGCTGCTTCTTCTCCCCACGCATTTCCAGCCACTCCCTTGCACCCATGCCGTCCGCAGCCCGTCCGCGCAGCCAAGCCCGCTCATCCCCAGCGGCTTCTTCTCCCCACCCACTTCCAGCCACTCCCTTGCACCCACTCCGTCCGCAGCCGTCCGTGCAGCCAGTCTCGCTCATCCCCAGCGGCTTCTTGTCCGCATCCATTTCCAGCCACTCTTGCACCCACGCCGAGCCGTCCGCGCAGCCAAGCTTGCTCATCCCCAGCGGCTTCTTCTCCCCAACCATTTCCAACCAATCCCTTGCACCCACGCCGTCCGCAGCCGTCCGCGCAGCCAAGCTCGCTCATCCCCAGCGGCTTCTTCTCCCCACCCATTTCCAGCCATTGCCTTGCACCCACACCGTCCGCAGCCGTCCGCGCAGGCAAGCTCGCTGATCTCCAGCGGCTTCTCCTCCCCACCCATTTGCCGTCCGCAGCCGTCCGTGCAGCCAAGCTCGGTCATCCCCAGCAGCTTTTTCTCCCCACCCATTTCCAGCCACTCCTTCCTTTCCCTTCCTTTCCCTTCCTTTCCCGTCCTTTCCCTTCCTTTCCCTTCCTTTCCCTTTCTTTCCCTTTCTTTCCTTTCCTTTCCCTTTCTTTCCCTTCCTTTCCCGCCCTTTCCCTTAACAAATGCCCATGCCAAGCGAGAACCCAAAAAAGCAAATCATCGTACCCTATGTCTCCATCTATTCCCCAGGCCCTAGCCCCACCCCTTTGCATCTATTTTATCGGTTCATCTATATGCGCACATAGCCAGCTGACAAGCAACCATCGCCCCACCCATTTCCAGCCAGGCCTCACTTTTAAGTGGCAGGCGCAATACTTTAGACAGATGGAGTGGAGAAATCGCAGCATGCAGTGGCACGAGGCCGTCAGCTCTGCATTCAACCTTCCATTTTGAAGGAAGTCTCGCACAATTGCTTCGTTTTTGATGTTGTCAACTTCGAAAATTAAGGAAGTCTCGCAGAATTGCATCGTTTTTGGCTTTGTCAAGCTGGACAATTTTTGAAATCTCGCAGAAGCACTTCGTTTTTGACGTTGTCAACTTCGAACATTGAGGAGGTCTCGCGGAATAGCTTCCTTTTCAAGCTTGCAGATAGACAGGTAGGTAGATAGAAAGCTACAACAACAACTACAAGTACAACTACAACAGTCACTACCAACACATTGCACTACGACTACAACTACAACTACAAATATACTACGCTACATTACACTGCACTAATTGCACCAAGGCAACTCTCGCAGCTACACGCCCCAGCCCTATGTTTTTAAGGGCGTTCAAGCCTGCCGTTTGCCCGCCCTCAAACGCTTCAAACCCTTCAAACCCATCCGCAGGCCTTTCCAAGGCAACTCTCG